TTGAAAGTTTCTCTTCTCCTAGATAGCTGGAAAGCAAAAAATTCTCTCTTTTGCCATCAAATTTCAATATATCAAATTTATCATTCAGAACTCAATAGTTTGTTGAATTAGAATCGGTTATACTTAAGAGTTTGAAAACTTTAAACAAGCTATCTTAGGTTTTTACACTATCATGATACTTCTAAGAAGAAACTCTCCTTGATGGAAAAATACCTGTAAATCTAAGACTTTTGGTGGGTTGGGCATTAATCCTGTTCTTAAAAACATGATTCAAGCATATAATTGCACCTTTATTTGAAGATTTTTTATCACTAATAGTCTACTTTCTTGCTGGTGGAAACATAAATATCTTTCATTTCGGAAGCCTATTTTTTGTCCTATTAGTAAATATTGGAAAATGATTAGGTAATGCCTAGAAAGACGAAGTTTCAATTTGGAAGAATTATAGAAAAATCTTAGCTATCTTTGACGGGCTGCCTCTTGCAACTGGATAATGATGAGGCACTGTCCTCCCCGATTAATTCGATTTCTGCTCACTCAAGGATGGTCAATATCTCTTTACTTGGCAATCGGATGAGCATCTTTTGGATTTTGGCTTGATCATTATGCCGGAGAATATGCTGAATTGGGATATTTTTAGCTTTATGAGTCCAGTCTTCTTCTTCTAGTGCTTCTAATGTTTTTTTTTTTTTACTTATTTTTTCTTGTAGTTAAACCCTAAACCCTAGTTTTTGTTTAGTTTGGTCCGTCTCTTCCGATTCATTTTCTTTTATATTGTATGTCCAGAGGGCCAAATTTTTAAAAGGAGCAGGAAACATTGCACATTTAAGTGGAGGAGCACCATTACCAGAAAATTTGTAAAGAAGCGGATACGCCGAAGTGTGTAGCACATTGTAAAATGTGCTAATCAGGTTAGCGATTTTAAAGAAACGGGCCAGACTAATTCGAGCATTCTTCGAAATGCACATAAAGCCATCCCGCAATTCATAGAATGTGCCGAAACTTTTGGCGCATTAAATTTAATATGTCAATTTATTATAGCGCATTTTAGCTAAACCGGCCGACTACCTTGGTTTTCTGAAAATTTTTGTTTGATGCTGGGACCAGATACATGAATTACGAGAAGATAGCAGGAATTCGATAAAAAAATTCGGTGGAGGGCCTCGTTTTAAAGGAAAATAACATTCTTTATGACTTATAAATAACCCCCAACCCGAAAGATGCATCACTGAATTTTGAAGATAGAAAAGTATCGGTGGAAGAAAGTTAGTAAGCTTAGAATTTTTTTTTCTCAAAGATTTAAATATGTTCTTATTTGTTATGATATATGATAATGTTCTTATCGTATTCCCTTTTGGGGTTTTTTGAAATATATATATATATATGATTATGTTGTTGTTAGATTTAAGTAGAATTTTTTTTATGTACATTTTAGAGTGAATATTTCATTTTCATGCTTCTAAAATTATAGTTAGATGTGATTATTTATGGTACTTTATTTTTCTTTTTTTCCAAGCAGATATTCTTTGAAGGGCAATTATACTATTTGCCTTAACACGTATTGACCATATAAATTTATATAAGCTATGAATCTAACCACCAAAGGAACTAGGGATAAATTCATGAGCATTAGATCTTATAGGCTGCAAATAGACATAACAATTAAATCCGACCACACTATAACATACCGATCGATTTCTTGTCGAAGTTTACAGGTAGCACGTTACGGGTTGGAAAAAACCGTAAGTAAATTTCAATATTCAGGTGAATTTTTTTTTTTTTTTTTTTCAATACATCAAAAGAGTTGATAAATAAATTTTTTTAAAGAGTTCTTTTAATATTAACATTTTAATTATATAATAATAATCTAAAAAATAAATTTAATTTTAATTTTTACTTTAATCTAATAATTTAGTTAAGTAAGATTTTAGAATTTATATATGATGATATTCAAATTAAAATTATATTCTAATTTTAATTTCAATACTTTTATAAGATAATTTAAGATTAATTATTTTTAAAAAAATTAATTAATGTATAATGATTATTATTTTCTAATGCTTAATAATTTAAATATATATTAATTTTTTGGAACATGAACTTATGCCTATCTTCTAGTCATGAAAAAATATTATATTAGCAAAAAATATATTATGTGCTTCTGTTAATGTTTAGAGTATAAATAAAATATATTTGGCATTGATAGAATTTTTTTCCCCAAGTCCTGATTTGTTGAGGGGAAACTGGTCGTTCATAGAATAGAAATTTTGATTCATTGAGATGAAGCATCATTCCTATTCATCTGGAAGTTCTTTTCAGATACAAGGAAATGATTCAGTTCCAGGGCTAAAGAACGTAGTTCTCGTACGAGCAATCGAAAAGATTCAGGATCACTTTTTGAGTTAGGTACTATATATTGACATGTTAAAAAATTGACTATAAAAAATAATACATTACAATCAATATTGTTAAATATAATACCTCCAAAATTTATTTAAGATTTAAGTGTATCATATTGTTTTAGTAGCATGTCACGTTTGCTGCTATATTTTGGGGGAGAGTTGTGTATTGCGGACAAGTTCACACCGACATATATTGGTGAAAGAAATTTGTTGCTCTTCATTGATTAGAACATCTCTCCTTCAATGCTGAAATAATAAATTTTTTGTGCACTAATGATAAATTCAATAGCAAGCATTGTTAACCTAACATCTGGCTTCTGTGATAACGATGACTATTGTACGTCACGTGTCATATTGTCCTAGTGTATGTGGAGGGTGAAGAAATAAGAAATGTAGATGTTGCCGGTCCATCAACTCAAGTGCATATGTGAGTATTAAAAACCTTGATTTGTGTTGTTTCATTGGGCACCTTCTTAAACATCAACTCCCTTGTATAACATTTTAATTTAACGTAGGCCCACTACAACATATTTTGACTTACAGGATGGTGGAAGAGCCAATACGATAGATGTGGAATATGACTTTCATGGCCGCATTAGTTTGTTGGAGCAACCAACATTTTTGCAACAATAGTTATCTTCACATCCTAGTGTGAGTGAACGTCCATGTTAGGTTAGATCTAATTATAATACATTTGAATACATTTAGACATTTGGGCCCTACATGCAACAGACCTCCCAAAATGAGAATATCATGGTTGATGGTTACAAGGTGGATAATGACAAAGAAGATGCATACAAAACTATGGATAGTGGTAGTACAGATTCATTACATGGTGGTAGTCAACCTAAATCAGATACACATGAATCCAAGATGAATTATAACAATGAGGAAAATAATGGTGTAGAATTCATTGAATAACATGCACGACGAAACCTAGCTAGGTTAGAGGCGATGTTTACAAATAATGAATTCACATAAACCAGTCAAATCAACCAACAATGGATGGAGATGAATAATTTGATGCTCTAGTAATGAACATAATTAGCTCAACTGAAGCAAATATTCCAAATGAATTGTATGAAGAGTAAATTTTTCATACTTAGGAAGAACTTCAAATTGTAATTAATGGATGGTCAATTACCCAAAATGTTCAGTACATCAAATATATTTCCAACAAGAGTCGTCTCACTATCACATGTGCCCAATATGATAATCTGCATAGGCCATGCATATGGTGATTACATGCAATCCAAAGTAAAAGACTATGTAGTCTTTCAAAAGCAGCAACTTGTGGCCCTCCACATATCTGCACCCACCAGATAATGGTTGTTGACCATCACAATTACCCATCTAAGTTCATATGCAGTCAAATCATGTCAATCATACGCCAAAATATTAGGCATATTCTAAGAAAGAACTAATTTTTTTGGCGCATTCTTTGAACGCGCTATACGTTTTGCATATTTTGCCCTTTTTTTTATTTTTAGATATTAATGCACCTACTATTCAAGTTAAATAATCTTCTGTTCATTAAAATTTGGCCTGCTCGGAGGTGATTTTTGTTCAGATTGGTGTCAATACACATTAAACAAGGGGCGTGACATATTTTGATTCACCTCTAAACGACGACGTCCGGAATCACACAGAATAATTAATCCATAAGCAGAGTAGGTGATTGTCCAGCGTCATTTTAAATGTTCTCTTTTTAGATTTGGTTCTACTTACAAAAAATTTAAATATTTTCTATTTTAAAATTTGTCCCAAAACAAAAAGGCTCGCAGTTCCCCGCTTGTCTTGTCGTTGACCAGTAGGTGGTGCTGACGTAAACTTTTCTACAGTAAAAAATTTTTGGTACAAACTTATTAATTTAAAATATAAACGAAGTTATTTTATCATAAATTTTAATTAAAAAGAAAAAAAGGAACACTAAGTTTGTAACAGATTTTAAGTTCGGATTGAAGCTCCTAATTTCACATGAAATTGAATAAAAGTATTTTATTTATCTATTTATTTTTTTTAAATTGAGCCAGTTATAGAGGATGTTTCAAATAATAGTATGTTTAATTTTTATTAAGAGTTCAGATATTGGGTTACAAATAGGAACTTTTATTTGATCCGGTACAAGGAGCAAAAACTACTACAAAAGCTTTTTATTCTTGATACAAATGTTTTTTTTTTGTGTGTAGTGAGAATTTGATATAAATATTTTACAACCTAAGAACCATCTTAGCATCATAGATTAAGGGTTCGTTTGGGACAGTTTTCTTAATGCTTTCAAAAATAGTATTTTAGTTAAAAAATTTCTTGAATTAGAATTTTTTTTCTAAAAAACAATTTTAGAAAGCAATTAAAAAGTTGTCACAAGGCTTCATTTGAGATGACTTTCTTACTGCTTCTTAAAGCAGCTTTTTAGTTCAAAAATTAATTTTTTTTATTAGAGAGATGTTTTAAGAAGCAGTAAAAATGTTGTCCCAAATGAAGCCTAAGCTTGGCTAGGGACATTCCCATATGAATTTTTTTTTCTTAATTAAGCTTACCGGATTAACTATTTCCAGCCATCAAAATATTATTTAAAATATGCTTACCAACCTCATATGACAAAAGTAAAGCTCAAGATTAATTAACATTTCATTACTCAATTCAATCACATACATCTTCATAATTGACTAACTATAGCGGTGCATAACTATATTAATTACCTTGTGTTCATGACTATAAATATATATACTATTTTTTTCTAAATTAATATCCAGGAAGAAGAAGAAGCTTAATTAAGGTATGCTACTGAACAATTCTTACGACCAATTTATCTTCTTAATTGGTCTAGCCTCGAATCCTCCCTCCTTTCTCTTCTCAAGCGTGAAAGGCATGTGAGTTCCAAGGATCTTATCCCAAGTGACAAAGAATGGCTGAGAGAAATTGTACTTTGTTCCATAGAGCTGATGGTGGATATCATGATACGCACTGTTGTTGTTGAAGAAAACATGTAACAAATTTCCAGGAAGCCACATCGCACTGTGATCGTCGACGCTTTTAATGGCGGTGAAGGAGAAGAAGTAGATAGCAGTGCGAGGTGTCATTCCTGAAACAAGGAAGGAGAGAACTCCCCCAATGATATCGAGGATGAGCCCTTCAAGAAGATGGTTGTACATAGCTCCATAGGGGTAGGGGACGACGAGGGCGTGGTGTTTGGAGTGGATATGTTTGTACAGGAACTTGTTCATGTGGAGGAGTCGGTGCATGAAGTATTGCCATGTGTCCATCACCACCATGGCGACGATGAACTGGAGGAAGATCACCCGAAGAGAAGGTTGACGCAGGATAAAGCTTCTGTCGCTGTTCTTGAACTGCATGAACACAAAGCAAAATGAATTTATAACAACATAACGAAGAAAATATATGAAAAAGTACTGGTTGTAATGTTACGTGCAGATTTATATACCGTGAAGAGGAAGAGGGAGATGGCTATTTGGAAAGCTTGCTGAAGGAGGACGCCCTTCACAACGGTTCCCTTTGAAACGATGTTCTTCTTTTCCTCTTCAACCTTTGTGTGAAGCCTGTACTGGTTCAAATCATCGAGCATGACATAGATGCCTGAATATATCCAATAAACAGCAATGGGGACGAAGGTGCCGAGCATCTCATCCGACGCAAGAAAGGCCATCATGGGGGTTATAGTGCTCGAAGAATTGGCTACCGTTTGATTGAACTGGATGGATTCTGCGAGCAAGAATAAAAGAAAAAATGATCTGTATGTAAGAACCAGTTTCGAACTTTGGAAATAAGGAATTACAGAGAGGCGCGCAGAGAACTGTACCCATTATTTTCTCTTCTTTGTATTATACTTCTTCTTCTAAGTTGCTGCTAGTTATGTGTGGAGATTTTATGGTGGAATCTCTGGTTTATATAGGAGTTGTAGGGGTGACGGATATGGTCTCCAAAGTCAGGCGATGAATGGGAACTGAGAACCAGAAGTAAGTCGATGGATTTTATTACTGTTTTCTTCTGGTCTTCCGCGCTTCTTAATTAGGTTGTAAACGAGGAAAACGCGAGTGAATGTCATATTTAAGATCAACGCGTATTTAAAATTATTTGTCTATATTATATTTATGTTCGATTCATTTAAACTCCAACGAGACTATTCAGCTTAAATTTGGATCAAATTATTGGAGTTATAAAATTTTTGAACTTTTTTTTAAAAATTTAATGATAGGCGGGTGAATAATATTGGTATACTAAGTAAAACATTTAATAAAAAATTGTTTATTAATTTATAGTTGCTCATTCAAAAAATAATAGCAAAAAAATCTAAATCTAAATTGGACTTAACTTGGTGTGGGATGGCTTTCTTATTATTTCTTAAAACAATTTTTTTGTACCAAAATTAATTTTTGTACTATAAAATTACTTTAAGAAGCAATAAGAAAGCCGTTTTCTAATTTACAAATTAAGGATATAGTATGAACTGGTTGTAAGGAACAACAAGTTTTCTTGTCTTGGCATCAATGATAGGGGATGTGAGAAAGAACGAAAATTGAAGTTTATTACAGTCTATCGTTTCCCTGTTAAGGGTGTGTTTGGGACATCATCATTATTGTTGTTATGCTATATAAAAAAGCAATATTGTAATGGTCATACTGGATTCTGGATATTGGTGTTACTTATTATATCTATCTCACTAGAGAGTGGTTCGGTACATACAGGGAGAATGATAGTGGTGGTGTGACCATAGGACAATTGGTATAAGGATCATCTTCATCAAAAGGCATGATGGTACTATGAGAGAGTTGATTGAGGTGAGACACGTTCCAGATATAAGGAAGAATTAATTGTCTGTTGGGGTTTTAGAGACCAAGGGCTATAAAGTAGTCATTGAGGTAGGAGTTATAAAGATAAATCATGGAGAGCTTGTTTTTTTAAAAAGAGTTTGCCACGATAACCGTAATGGAGGTGAATACATGTCGGATGTATTCTTGTAGGAGTGTCAAAAGATCTGGGATAGAGCACCACTTCATTGTTAGAGAGACATCACAGTAGAATAGGATGGCAGAGAGGATGAATCGAACTTTACTAGAGAAAGTTCAATGTATGCTATCCAATGCTGTGTTGGATAGTCTATTGGGCTGAGATGATGGATCATGTTTGTCACTTAGTGAACTGCCTGCCTTCTACAGCTATTGGGAAGAAGACCCCAAAGAATATATGTTTAGTGCATCCTACTAGAGATTATGAGCACTTGTGAGTATTTAGGTGTCCAGCTTACTATCATGTTTAGAATGATAAACTAGAACTGCAGGCAAAGAAGATATTCTTTATTATCCTCAAGCATGGAGTCAAGGGTTTTAAACTATGATCTAATTAATAGAGAAAAAGATTATCATTAGCAAGGATCTTATATTCAATGAGGTGAGCATGTTGAAGCCTCGAGACTCTAAGCATGTGGAGAGTTTTACTAGGACCAAAGATGCACTGCAGAAGTTGAAGTTAGATGCAACTTTATTTTCTACACATAGGCATATCACTTTTAGCCAGGTTCTTGATTCAATTGCAAATCAAAGGGTAGAAGATGATGTTGAGGATGAGATTCAAACTTAGGAACCTATTGTGACGAAGAGGGGTTTAGGAGCCATAATGTCCCAAAACTAAATTAATTGAGGGATCACATTGCATTTGTACTTTCAAATATGAAGGCTAAAGTTCTAGTCACTATAGGAAAGCAATAGACAGTCCTGATTGAAAAGATGGGTTCTCTTCAGAATGATGCTATTTGGAGGATGATAAAGCTTTGTCCATAAAGAAAAATCATTGGGCGCAAATGGATGCATGCAAAGAAGGAAGACTCTCATGGAACTAATGTACAGTACGTACAATACTAAGTTTGTGGTACAAGGCTTTGTGCAACGGGAAATGATTGCTTATGATGAGGTGTTCTCCTAGTGAATGGTTAAGAATCCCCCAACCCCTGGTTACTTGGCACTTGTAGCACAGTATGATATGATTTTGGAGCAGCTTGATCCAAAAAGTGCACAAGCAGTTAGCGTTACGAGCAGGTTCATACATAAAATAGGAAGGAATCATTGGCAAGCTGTGAAAAGTATCCTAAAGTATCTGAAGCGTATAATTAATGTGGGCTTGGAGATGCAATCACCACGGTAGTGGTGCAAGACTCATGACTGATTGTCCAATTATTTTGAACAATCATACTCGGCTTGACCCTTTGGGAGGGGATACGTAGGCAATCATTTGGGTGCAGTTGTTCTAATATTGGAGCCTAATTTGCCATCTTTCATTTTTCTGAAGTGAAAACTGAGATGGAGATTATTGATTTGGAATTATTTCTAAATCTAATTAAAGCTTTAATGAAAAATTTATGTAAATTATTCTTACTTAATCTCATTGAGGTTTTTGCCTTTGGCATTAGGGAAGTTTTTCGGCCTCTTTATCCCTTTTATTACACTATCTGTAAGTTTTTGCATCTTTTATCTAAGTATAGTTGTCATAAAATCTATTCTTCTTGGAGGTTTGTTTTTGTGCAGATCTTTCACCTTCGTATGTGCTTCTATAATGATTGCAGAGGGAGCTTCCCCATCTCTTTTTGGAGCTTTAGGAAGGTGAAGTTTGTTATTTTCCTAATTAGTTGATTTGATTAATGCATTAGTTAGGAAAGATTTGATTGACTTTAATTAGATGATTTAATTAGTGCACTGATTGGGATATCTAATTGGCATGATTTGATCTTTGCATTAATTATATTTTCTTAATTTATTAAGTACCTTGTTTCAAATCTTTAATCAGAGCTTGAGGGCTACTGTATTGTATTCATAAGAGTAAGAGAGAGCTAGCTAGAGAGCCAATTGTAACCTATTGTTCTCCAATATAGCGAAATTATCATCCCCTCGCATGAACGTAGTCATCTTAACTGAACCACATAAATCATCATGTTATTTGTGTTGTTTGTTGTGTGATTTCTTATTTTTGTTATTTTTGCTATGTTTATTGCACAACAACATGCATATTCATTGAGTAATATTCTAAATATCCTCTAAAGCCTCAACCCCAACACATAGATGGAATCCTAAACTCCCATAGAGCCTCTATAGTGCTTACTTTCCTTGTTGTAACCACCCCAACTTTTTAGCGCACTTCAATTTTTTTCAAGAAGGTTCAACAATGGTGATTAGTCAGGCCCCTCTGACCATGCACAAATTGCCCCACTATGTTTTATCATTTCTGAGTGCCCTTCTCCAAAGTATTTTATGCCTAACAACGCAGAAAAATGGTGAAATGGTTGGCGATTAAAAAATATTATTAAAAAAAATGAAAAACTACTATAATATGATCTTAATTATTCATTTTTATAACAATATGATTAATAATATCATTTTAATCATATTATTTATTCAATTATGATCATAAGTTCAAGCTTATATGAATGAAAATAAATTAATTTTCTCCTTTATCCTAATTTTCTTTTTAATGTAATTTATTGAAAATTAGATCGTTGAAACCAAAAACAATCAGGACTTGTAATATTCTTTTTTTGTGTTTTTCCAGCGCCAAATTTCTGACAACTACTAAAAAGGTTTTGCTCGGTCACTCAGACTAGGGGTGTCAATAATTGACACAACCCGAAATCCGACCCAAACCCGATCCTGAAAAATTCGGGTTCGGGTCAAACCATTTGTGAGACGGGTCGGGTTCGGGTTCGGATTTCCGACTCATTTGAAAAACGGGTCGGGTTCGGGTTGACCCGGAAATCCGCGGGTCAACCCGAATTGATAGTGGCAAATCAAATCTCGTAGTCGCGTCTTGCCAAGCTTGCCAGCCTTCTCGCGTAGGGCCAGTCGCTTCATGCCAAACGAATCATCACTTCCGTCTTCCGCTACGCGTACGCCCCCTACACCATTATTGGCTTCTCCGGCTCTCCGCGACTCCGCCAGTCGGATCAGTCCAAAACGACACATCCAGTCTGCAGTCCCACGTGGTTTGCCCCAGGCCCCCAATGCCCTAGAGCTGACACTTAGCCTGCTTCGCCCCAATAGACCGCACTCGCCTGCACAGACATGCCCGCACCGCAAGGTCCGCAGTGCTCGCGAGTCGCGCCTGCTCTTTCCCACGCTGGGAAGAAATCGGTGGGTCGGGTCGTGTCGGGTCAACCCGACAACCCGTGCAGGTCGGGTCCGGGTTCAATTTTCTAACCCGTTTAGCCAAATGTGTCAGTTTCGGGTTGACCCGTTTACGTTCGGGTCAAGTCGGGTTCGACCCAAACCCGACCCGTTGACCCGAATTGACACCCCTAACTCAGACAATGAAATTTTAGAATTTAAATATAGCACTAGTGGCATTGTATTAAGGAAAAATTATTCTGTGCTGATGTTGAACGTTGTCCGGAGATCAATCAGAATGTGCCATGTAACCCTTTTACTGTACCGTGGCTCGGTACTGCTCGGTACCATGGCTTAGTACTGCTCGGTACTGCTCGGTACCGTGGCTCGGTATTGCACGGTACCGCAACATCCGGACGTTGAGCTGCGTCCGACTTCCACACAGAATAATTTCTCCATTGTAAGAGCAGAAAATAAAGCTTATGGTTGTTCTAATTTCAACAAATTAAGATTCTGAGAGCCAAACTTTCAAATTAAATGACTTTTCTACCTCATTTTGTTTTCTCATCTTTTCCGTAAAATTCTCATGATGGTTGCAAAGGATATAAATTGAAGTTGAACTAGTCCGAATTTTGATTAATTATTACAAATCCCAAGTTAGTAATTCATTTGAATTTTTATTTTAATCGGGCATAAAGACTATGGCTTCGGTTAGTACAACTTTCTTACTGTTTTATTTTTCAAACATCAATCACATTTTTTATTTTATTTCAGACGTCAATCACATTTTTTATTTTTTTAAATAAAAAATAGAAAAAAAATAAATAAATTATGATTGCAATTTGAAGAGCAATCACAAAAAACTTTAGAATAGAAAACTGCTTTCTTAACAACTTTAAAAATTACTTTTTCTGCAATAATTTTATAAAACATTAAGAAATTCATCCCAAAAAGATTATATGTGAAATATATTTAATTTTCAAAATCTTATATATATTTAATTGGGCATAATGGACTATAAAATAAAATAAAAAAAAATCTAGCTTATATAAATATACATCATAACTGTTAATATTAGGCTTCGTTTGGAACGGTTGTACCATATACCGCACGATTACAATTTCGTGTGGGACAATTTTTTTTATTGCTTCTTAAAACAATTTTAAGAAGCAATAAAAAAACCGTACGTCCCAAACGAAGATGTAACCGTGCACCAATCGTGCGGTACACGGTACATGAAAATTTTTTTTATTTATAAATATATTGAGAATTATTTAGTGCAAGTGGATGATGGCATCTTCGTGCTTGAGTTCTAGACAGCATACCGGCATCTTCATGTCTTCGTTCTTAGATTTTTTTTTTTCTGTGTCTCCATTTAATTCCTCACATGAACCTTTGACCAATATGGCAGCATCACAGGGCAAGTTGCAAGTGCTTTGGCCCACTGATTCATTACATTTACGTATGCATGGCTAAGAATTTAGGGTTTCTAATACAAAGTAAGATACACAGCTCGTACTGGTCTGTTAGTTGGGAGCTTAGGCTATCAAATAAGAAGTCTTGGATTCGAGTCATGTGTATGCGTATGAATCTGTCTTAATTGGCCTAAATGTCTAAAAAAAAAATACAAATTAAGATGATTTTTTTTTTGTTAAAACCCACAGAGGGGCCTACGCATTAAATCCCAAAAAATGGCTACAACGTCCTTAGAAGGATCCTCCAACTCACTACTGCTCCAAAGAGCTATAAGAAAAGTCAAAATAAAACCTAAGAACCGATGATTCCTTGTTCTAATATTACAAAAAAAAATATAAATAAAAGCTCAGGCTGCAAGTAAATAGCACCCAAAAAAGGAAGAGCAGATTAATCCTTTTCAACACATTCTTCCTGCAAAAATATTAATCAAAATTCAAGGGGCTCTGAAAATTAGACGACGTGAGAACCATGCAATCATTGAAGCTCCAAAAAATTGAAGAGAAATTTATAATGAGTAATATATATATCTTGTATTAGAAATCCAAAGAAAAAAAAATTCTCAAAGTCATAAGTGGCAGTTAGGAAAACAGCTGCAGAAAGTCTATGGTGAACAGCTAAAATAGTGGAGAAAATATACGTAGAAGCAAACAGAGGAACAAAAACGGCAAACGGAAGCTGCAGCAATGCGCCAAGGAAATTCTGAACTCTCATAAGAGCTTATTGTAAATCCATGGATTAAGTTGAAACCGTTCAATTTAAAATTTCAAAATACTAAAGAAGACATTCACGTTCAAACAGAAGGCAAAGATTTTTGTAGTATTTTGGCCATCATTAGATTCGGAGAGAATATTACGTGCGGAATTCGGACACAAAGAATTGTTCGATTTTATAAATGTGAATAGTAAAAGCACAGTTAACCACTGTGTTTTTACTGTTCACCATTATACTTTTATTATTCACAGTCATAAAATCGAACGGTTCTCTACATCTGGACTCCGTAGGTAATGATCTATCCATCATTCGCCCAATTTTACAAGGTTGGAATGTACTATAATTGAGGCATTGACATGCCATTTTCAACATAAATGTGTGCAGCAAGAAATAAGAAATTTCAGAGATGCAACCATTTTATAGAATAAATAAGACGGATATTAATTAGTTGGTCAACTAAGAAACATTGATTTTTATGAAGGGAGACTTGTCAAATAAGTTTAGTCTGCAACTTTGAATGGTTAAATTTTGAATAGATAAGGGATGACTGGCCTCAAACACAAAAGTCAGAATGCTTGATTGTTTTTAATTATCTCATCATAAATTTACCAAATTACCTTCTATAATTTATATGTAGTCACTTTCAAGATATCGTTAACTTTATATAATTTGATCGAAACTAAACTCGAAAAATTCAAGTTTGGATTAATCCAATTAGTTTTTGGGTGAGAATTGGGTTAAAAATTTTGACCTACATAATTTTTTTGTTTGGATTCAGGTTGATTCAAAAATAAGAAAAATTGATGCAATTATCATTCAAGCTCGAGTTAAACATTTATGACACCAAACTCATTAGTGAACGTCACGGCTGGAACAGGACGGGAAAGAAATAGCTCGTGGAGAATAAAAACCTCGTTATTCTAATTCTAAGAAAAGAAATCTAGGAACATATCACCACCTCAAGATACAGAACACAGAAACAGACAGCTCAATCTGGCCTGTTGGTTGAGAGCTTAGACAATCAAGTAAGAGGTCTTGGATTTGAGTCTTTGTATATGCGATATGTCTGTAAATTTAACTTAATTAACCTAAATGTCCAAAAAAAAAAAAACAGAACAAAACTAATACTAGTCTACACGCACAAGAAAACAACATCCTATCCACTCATTCTAAAGGCTATACAAAAACAAACACCAAGCTTGAAGTCACAGAACATAAATTTGTTAAATAAAAAAATTTATAAAAAAAACATAAATTTGTTAAATAAAAAAATTTATAAAAAAAAAACATAAATTTGTTAAAAAAAAATTTATAAAAAAAAAAAATTAATTATTAATATATAATATATTTATACATTTTAAAATTTTGCAGTATATTCTTATTAAAATTATGATTAGATTTATCTTATCTAACCTTTTTTTAAATACCCTTGAATTTAGACATGCATATATTAAATTATTTTTTTATTCTCTTAAAAAATAACCTCAAGTCTTAAATATTAGTTTTTTAAGCCGACCCAACGTCACGAATGCACAAATGTCAAAATCTTTTGAATTTTAAAATTTCCGATACAGATTTACCATCATAATTTCCTACCAAATCAAATGGATATCGTTATTCAGATATTTTAAAAACGTTATTAAAATTTAGGCTTCATTTGCAACAACTTTCTTGATGCTTCTCAAAATAGCTTTCTAGCAAAAAAATTATTTTTTATACTAAAATATTATTTTAAGAAGCGGTCATAAAGCCGTCATAAACATGACAGTCGAAATTTTACACTAAGGCTTCATTTGGGACAGCTTTCTTACTGCTTCTTAAAACAATTTTCTAGTGCAAAATTTTTAATATTTATAATAAAAAGCCGTTTTAAGAAGCAGCAAGAAAGTCGTCCCAAACAAAGCCTGATTCTATGATTTTATCGAAATCTAGAGAATGAGAGGTTTGCTGTTGTTGCTGAATATGCTAAATCTGATAAACCAAAAACATTTTTAATGAACTCAAATAAATATTATTAACATTTATAGAGAAAACATCATGAGATTATGAGGAACTATCGAGTTACAAAGAGCCAGTAATTCATCTATCGATAAAAATCCAAACCAAAGCAAAACAAAAGTTATAAAAATATGTAGAGAGAATAACGCCTACAGTTGGAGACAGGCATATATGTTCCAGGAAACTATAAAGAAGAAAGAGGTCATGTATGAAGTTAGAATTATACAAAAATCTAACCGGATGAAGCTTTGAGAAGTGAAAATCGCTCAAGTAATGTTGATTTCTTGGGGTTTTTTATAGACCAAAGTTGCAGAGTGGCAAGAATTCCATCTCAGTATCAACGTACTTAGTCCATAGGTGCTTGTATTGGTTGAGGGCGACATCAAGCCAAGGCTTCATGTTTCCATTGAAATGAATGACAGAAGCCCTCCGGATCTCATCCGGACTCACGCTAGGATTGTAGCCAAGTCCCATTACATGCCATGATTTGTCTATTGGTTTTGTTGTTGTGTGGAATGTCATCAAGCCTGCTGGAAGGACATTTCCAGCACTCCACAATGTGCCATCCTCATTCTGGGTGGTGAAAACAAATGGGTTAGGTTCAAAAAAGGAAAGAAAAACAACTATCATCAGTTCGTTCGCTGTAAATCCGATGAAATTATTCTGTGCGGATGCCGAACGCCGTTCGGAGATCAACCAGAATGCACCACGTCACCCCCTTCACGGTACTCGGCTCGGTACCGCGTACGTGGCGCATTCTGGTTGGTCTCCAAAAGATGAGCTGCATTGCATCCGCACAGAATAATCACTCGTAAATCTGATATATAAAGAAAGAAAAATCAGTACATTTGCAATTCTACGAGAATCGAAAATTCAAGAACAATATATGATCTTGTTATTGTTGACGCCAAGAAAATATACTGCAGTAACCAGAGAAGTTTTAAGTAACCGCGAAAGATAAAATAGCGCATCATTGGAAGCACTTGATGGCAATCAGAATTTTAATGAAAATCTACCGTATCAGTGTGGATGATTGCAAATTGCTCTGAATGTACCTAAGTCAGATACCAAAGTTTTTGGGCCCCTGGAGTGACAGCAGGTGCATGAATAACCAAAACGAAAGGGAAAAAAAATTTTGGTATAATTTGATATTTTTCATGCCTAATAGATGAATGAAGAATTTCTTTCCTTTCAACTTTAAATAAGATCATATGACCTCTCATGTGAGGTAATATTGTATGTGAAATTAATTATAGGGAGAACTTGGATTTTAGAAAAGTTGTGAATGTTACTTCAGTAAATTCACCTTTATAGCTTGTGTTTTGTAATGGATCAGACCATCCCCTCTCCCATTGACATAGGCTTTGATTCAAGCCAATAAACGTGAATCTTGATCTCTCTTTGAGGTGTATTTTTTTTTTTATTTCTCATTTGCTTAGCTTTGTAGCACGATGATCTTGATCCTAATGAAGCTACTGCTTATGACTTTCTATTGTATAACATCAACAACAACATCAAGCCTTTGTCCCACGACGTGGGGTCGGCTACATGAATCCTTTTTCGCCATTGTGTCCTGTTAAAAGTCAAATTCTCATTTAAATCTAATAAAGAAATATCATTTCTAATATTTTCTAACCAAATCTTTTGAGATCTACCTCTACCTTTCTTAACATAAGTCAAATCTAATACCTCAACTTTTCTAATCGGGTCATCAGAAGGCCTGGCAAATAAGATATAATTATGCTTGGCAAAAAAGCCTTTGCTGGAAAAACAAGGAGTGGCTGTTGTTCGTATTGGGGAATCATATCTTAGGAGAGCACAAAAGAGTTGGTTGGCTGTGTGAACATATTTTTTTTATTTATCGTGTGTTTCCCTTTGTAGCACATTCATCTTGATCCTATTGAAGCTTCTGCCTGACTTTAGACTGTAGAGAACGAAAATTATTGAGGCAATCTAATTATGCCTGGCAAATAAGATATAATTAGGCTTGGCAAAGAAGCCTTCGCGGGAAAACTAAGGAGTGTGTGGTTCATGTTGGGGAATCATATCTTAGGAAAACACAAAAGAGGTGGCTGGCTATGTGAATAATTCCAGAATTAAACCAACCAAAAGACAATGGGAGCACTAAAAGAGATGAACAACCAGAGCACATTTGCATTGCAGAGTTTGTCCAAGCGTCTGGTCATACCAAATTCAGGGCAAAAACGGTAAATTTGAAGCTACCAAAATTTTGTAAAAGTATACTTATGGTATTGATAAATTCATCTTTTTTGTGTACAAGATGTGCTTCGGAAGTCTCTCATAGGTGTTAAAATGCATGGTGCTAAGCCCTTCGAGGTTTTAGGAACTTAGAGAAGAGACACGGAGAATATATAAATTTGGTATAATATAAAGCGAAGAGGGAGAATTGCAAAACATGATTCATATGCTTATTTACTTTATTAACCTTATGTCTCATACATAGGCCAATGCAAAATTTTATTTCCTCCAGAGAATTCCATCCGTGATCATATAACCTCAGGATTGTCGCTCTCCATTTTCGTATGGATTCCAAGGGAAGAGTATAAGGAGATGTTCACTTAGGTTTACTCAAGTTAAGACTGGAGACTTCCATTGCATACCCTCGTACAGCTTAAGGTTGTGTCATCTTAAACCTCCTCATCGGCATACTCTCTCGATGTCAAGGATTTCATTTCATTGGGGATTTTGAAGACTTTATTGATGCATGCGAGTAGGGTCACAAGTATTTCTTTATTATATACACCTCTTGTGACTTCTATGTTTCCTAGTGGATCAAATTATCTCTCATGTATCATATATCTAGGCTTGAATAGGGTTGCAAATGAACGGAGCATTCAACAAGCTACTCGTGACTCAACTCAATTACAGCTTGTTCATGATCATTTGTTTAAGTAATTAAACAAGTTTGAACAATTTTTGGAATACTCAACTGTTAAATAAACAAATATGAACAACTATGTGTTCGACTCGTTTATCTTCATGAACAATATCAATTAAAGCTCATGAACAAGCTCGATATGAAACTCGTTAAGAAGTTTGATTAAATCTTTATCTTATATATTTTCACATAATTTTTTTTTTATTTTTATTATAATAAATTATTCTTATTATATAAAAATTAATTACATTTTTTATGTTATACTATTTCAATATAATGTAATTTTTCATAAACAATAGGTATTTATTCATGTTTGCAATATTTTTTGTTTAAAGTATTTATTGACAAGCTTGTTTATAAGAAGAATTATTTTAAGAGCTTGTTTGTTCATGAACACGCTAGTTTAGTAGATCGAAACTGCTCCCTATATATGTTCACGAACAAGCTCTAGGTTATTGTTTATTAGTAGGCTTGATAATGCTCGTTTGTTTAAAGCTCAATAAGCATAAATGAATTGAACATGAACCAAACACAATCCAAAGATGAACATAAATCAAAGAGAGCTTGGTTGAAATTTAGAATTTCAACAAAGTTCAAGCAGAATTTGAGTTGAATCTCCTGGAAAAAACACTAGGAAAACTTGATAATTGATGAAAAAGTGGAAAAAACAAATAAGATACAATGGATCTTCAATTCGAGAGGAAGGTCCGGCCCTCCCAATCTCTAGTCTATGGCTAGAGCCCAAGCAAACCTAAGACAAATCCCAAATTCAATAAAAACCAAGATAAACCTAACCCTAACCCTTCCCATCTATTTAAAGAATACAAATATAATTATAATTACTAAACAGCCCCTCCCAAAATTAATTCCCTCCTAAGCCGCCCCCTTTAATTTTATATTCAAATAATGGGCCCCACAATGGGGGTCGGCGGCTATTTGGTCAGCTTGAAGTAAACCAAGGGCCGGCCTCGGTGCTGGGCCAGCTGGACCGGTCTAATAATCCCCCGTCCCAAAGAATCACCTTGTCCTCAAGGAAAAAAGGATGGAAACTAATGTTTCACCCTCTCATATGGCTCCCAGGTGGCGTTATAGTCATGTAAGTTCTTCCATTTTATCAAAACCTCCTTGGTCCCTTCTTCTCCATGTCGAAATCCTCTCAACTCCAATGGTTCTAATAACACCTCTAAATCCTCTGTCAGTGTCACAGGTAACTCTGAACTAGCTATGTGATCTCCAATAGCTCTCATCAATTGTGACATTTGGAACACTGGATGTATAGTGGTGATTGATGGTAATCTCAAGCGGTACGCCACTGCTTCAATCCTCTCCAATACCTCAAGGGGGGCAAGCTAACTTTCCTCATCTTCTCAGTTTCAGTCTTCCCCTGAAGATGAGGGTTGTTTAAATAGGATTGTTGCTCATCAAAGGTAACATCAACAAATACAAGAGTTTTCTTGGTAGAGGGACGATAATATTTATAACCTTTATAGGTAGATAAATATACAATAAAGATACATTTGAGTGTTTTTTGATCTAATTGATCTAATTTTTTTCTATTTTGGTTATGAATGTGAACATAGGTAGTGCGACAAAAAATTTTGGGTGTAATGTCATTATGGGTTCAAAATTTGATATAAAAAGACGATAGAATATCCATTGGTTTTTAGTCCCAAGATTTTTTAAGGTAGTCGATTTCTAAGATATGTGGCAATCATAAGGGCTTCCCCCAAGTAGGATTTGGATACATTGAGGTGGAATTAAAGTGCATGGGTGGAGACTAGAAGATGACTATTTTTCCTTTCTGCAATCCCGTTTTGTTATGGGTTGTGAATGTAGGAATACTCATGAAAGATACCTTCTTCTTGAAAGTAAGAGGATAGGGTTTTCTTAAAATAATCTTTAGCATTGTTAGAACGAAATTTTCTTATTTTTACCTCGAATTGGTTCTGGATCATGGTATGAAAAATGGGAAGGTTAGAGATAACATCGGATTTATTTTTTAAGAAAAAAGATCTAATAGTCTGAAGGCAGTTATCAATGAATGATACAAAATTACAAATTATTAGGCTCCTGAGATGTTAGGGATTTTTTTGGGTCCTCAGATATCATTATAAGGTAAAATAGAATATTACATCTATCATGTTTATTTGAAAAAGAATTCCGTTTATGCTTAGCTAGCTCACAGGTTTCACAATGAAAATATTTATTTTCCAACTTATAAAAATGTTTGGGTACATATTTTTTAAGACAACAAAGGATGGATGTCCTAGTCTAAAATGGTGAAGCCAAATAATAGATTTTTTATCATATAGAAATAATATAGAATAGCCACTATTGATAATAGTATATTTGTTCAGCTCTTCCAGGTAGTAAAGTCAATCTCTCTTCTTAGCAAGTCCGATCTTCTTCCACGATCTCTGATTCCGAAATAAGCAGCAAGCATGGCTAAATAAGACTAGATAATTATGGTCACTGGTAAGTTTTCGTATGGAGATTAGATTTGTGGATAATTGAGGTATGTGGAGCACATTTTTTAGAGTAAGGGAGGGAGATAAGGGTATGTCTCCTTAGCCTGCTACTATGGTAAGAGAATCGACGGTGATAATTTTCTTGTCACTTGGGCAAGGAGTATAATTGATGAAGTGGAAAGTAAAGTGTGTTATATTATATGTGG